GCTTGTTGTTTCTAAGCATGCTCGCATCTTTTGATCGTGTGTGTCTCAGTCCTTTAGCTTTGAGGATGGGGCAAGTAGCAGGGATATTTGGGAAGAAAGCAATAAGGGGAGATAAAGGGAAATTGCTAGTGGAAGGCAGAGTTTGGGTGTCTTGTCTTAGTTCTCTGCTCATTACAATGAAAACAGCTTCATTTTTAAAAGAGAGGAAGGAAGTTTCACGAACATGACTTAAAATCTGACTCCAAAAACAGTTCTACTTAATACAGGTAACAGGAAACATAAACAGAACTCAGTGTTCTTGACTTCTTGCCCCCTGCCCATTTTTGCTGATGCCATAAATACTTGAACTAGAGATAGGGTCTTCTTTGCAAAAAGCCACTCAGTTTACTCCCCAAACCCAGACACACCTATTTATTAGTCCATAATTCTTATACTTCCTCTGTCTCCTTCACTGTGCCCAGGAGAGGGCTGAGTACATCTTATCCATGAAAAAGGAGATAACTGCAAATGCTTTTGTAAACTCCAAGGAGCTATCTTACACTGAGAGCATGCTAGTGCTTAACACCGTTTTTAAGGGTCTTTAATGAGAGTGTCTGAAAAGTTCTCATGGCAGTTATTCAGAGGATACGGTTTTCCTAATGCTGGTACCCAGTCAGGGGCTGTGTTTCCATCAGAAGAGAAGCAGCTGTTCTTTGGGGCTGGTGTGCCAGTTTTCCCTTAGGAAAATTGGTTTGAGGAGTACAGGCACTGGGATGACGTTTGAGATTTTAAATGGAAATGGGCTTTTACTGTAAGATGAACCGCATGTCCCTCCAGGTTAGTAACTGTCTAACCTGGGCTCACAGCAACTTGGACAGGAGCTAGGGAAGCAGGCCTGAGAGAGAGCATCTCTCTTCAGTCAGTTTTCCAGATGTAGCCAAATACCTCACTACAGTATTTGGTGATCTTGATGTATAAGATATTTATATACAAAGTGCTCTATAAAGATGGAAGGGAGGGACTTAATCATGTTGATGAGGATGAAATATTACAGACTTTATGCAGATGAATAGATTTGGTGCTGGAACAATTAAATGATTTCTAGGCTTCTAGTATTTATTTCATAAGAGTCATTCTCTATAAACCTATGAAATGTGATCATTGGTGACAAAAACTGCAAACTCCAGGGAGTAATTTCATTTTTTACCCTGGTCCTGCAGCAACTCTTAAAAGGACAAGGGAAGTGGGGCTAGGGAGACAGCATCTCCCTTCAATCAGTTGTCCAGATGTAGCCAAATACCTAGTTAGGTATCTGACAACACACACCACACACACACATACACATGCACACACACATTTATTTACATTATGCCCTCCAAAGATGAAAGAAAGTAAGGGATTTAATCATGCTGATGAATATGAAAGAGCTTCCATGATACACTTTAGGCAGATGAGGAGCTGTAATGCTAGACTCACTATGATTTCTAGACTTCCAGAGTTTATCTCCTAAAAGTCGTCTTCTACATATGCTTTGATAGGTGTTGGTGATATGAGTCTGCAAATCCAGGTGAGTTATTTTGCACATAATGTGGACCTGCACAACTCTAAAAGGGGAAGGAAGATAGGCCTGGGGAAAGGTAATTTCCCTTCAATCAGTGATTGCCAAATATCTTGACACAGTATCTGGCAAAACATACACACATAAAAATATTTTATATACATTATGCCCCATCACAATGGATAGTAAGGGATTAATTGTGTTCATGATCATGAAACAGCTGCCACTCCACACTTTGGGCAGATATGGAGATAAAGTCCTAAGCTACTTAAATGACTGATAGGTTCCCCAAAGTGTTTATCTTCTAATAGTTATCTTCAGCGTGCGAGTACTTGTAGAAATGTCATCTTTCCAGCTACTCTTAAAACATAGGTAATAACAAACTGATTAGTGATAAACATTTGATTCCACAGACTCTATTACATGGACCCAACTATTTTACAAGCTGAGAACAGTGCTATATTTTTGGTAATATCCCATTATTTTACTTTAATACTATCAACAATTGCTTATACAGAAAAAATAGCCACAATCAAATTCTGATCTTTTTTTTTTTTTTTTTTGAGTTGGAGTCTCACTCTGTCACCCAGGCTGGAGTTCAGTGGCACGCTCATGGCTACCTCAGTCTCAACCTGCTGGGCTCAGGCGATCCTACCACTCAGTATTCCAAGTAGCTGGACCTACAGGTGTGTGCCACCACACCTGGCTAATTTTTTGATTTACTGTAAAGATGAGGTCTCACCAAGTTGCCCAGACTGGTCTCGAACCCATGGGCTCAGGCAATCCTCTCACCTCGGCCTCCCAAAGTGTTGGGATTATAGGCATAAGCCAATGTGCCTGGCCCAAATTCTGATCTTTTTTCTTGCTTTCTGGCAGGGTTTGCCAACAACTGTTTTAGTCCCCAGTCCACAGTACTGTGGGACTGCAGGGAACACTCTGTAGTGTCCAAGATTTCTTTAGAGGGGAAGGGCAAAAAGAATGAGGAAGGAAGAAAGGAAGGAAGGAAGGAAGGAAGGAAGGAAGGAAGGAAGGAAGGAAGGAAGGAGGAAAGGGGCTTATTGGAGAGGCAGGTCAGAGACTCAGTACTTATATAGGCTTGTAACAAATCCAAAGAGGAGAAAAGATATTTAAGAAAAATGTTCTTCCTTTTGGCAACATGGTAACCAAACATATGCATACAGAAAAGGAAATGTGTAATTATACCCAGTGGTATGCTGATGAATGTGTATCAATCAGCAATCTAGAGAGGGGACAAGGCCCCAGTTTATAACATATTGCTAATGTCTGTGGTGTAAATACTCCCACCACAGCCAATTTCAGGCTACTAACAAGGAGTTATGAAGAAATGTGCAGTAGCACACCATTGGGTGTTATTTCCACCTTGCAGACAAAATAGATGTAACTAATCTCAAGGGCATAGAAAATAGTAAAATGTAGGATTTTTGAGTTCAATCTTTATTACTTTGTCCTTAATATAATGTATTTAACTGTTTAAGTGCATATCATTTAATTTTTTTTTTGAAAGCAGGATTTATTGAGAGGACAGAAAGGCTCCCACAGTGGGAGGGTCCTGAAGGGGTTGTCCACCATTTAATTTTTAGTAATGGCTGTGTTGAGCAACCAGTTTGCAAAATTTCTGAAAATGTAACAGCTGGCAAGACTGAACAAGTCAGCTCCTACACACCACACCTAAATGGGTGAAATAGAAGGAAAAATCAGACTGAAAATCACCCAACAGTATTTACTATGTTTTTTTAGATAGATGGGGAGATGTAGTAGTAAACTAATTAAAGGGTTTTTAGGGATCCAAAAGTGTTAGTATGTTCTGCTTATTGTGCCCTCAAAAATGTAAAAAATTCTCAAGAAAATGAGATTTTTCAAAAGATTTTAAAGACACAGATATGGTCTTATACAGGTAAATGTTCAATTTTTAAAGGACTATCCTAAGCAGATTTGATGTGCTTTACAAGCTAAATAGAATAATATAGAAATCATTTTTCCATTAACTTGTTTTATTGCTACCAAGTAACTCAGAACACTCAGTTACTGAACAAATTCTGGGTTGGGTCCACATTCTGCCTGCGTCAGTGATCTCTTTAGTTCCAGGTGTCACTAGCATAGCAGATGTCACCATTACAAGGCTCAGAATTGCAGAGAAAAGAAGAGAATGAGTTGGAAGGAAGAGAGGGGAGAGGGAAGGAGAAGAGGGAGAGGCACCTCCAGCAGTGTCAGAGTGCCACCAGTCACCATCTGGGACCCTGACAGTTATCAAGGACTGGTGAGCTTGAGCCAAAGGTTGCAGTCACCTGTTTCCTTAGTTTAGTATTACACTGTTGCACTGCTCCATTAAAAGATTAATGTGTACTACAATGCCACCATCTCAAGCTGTACTTTCACAGACTTTGTCCTTGAGATGACACACATCTGGATAAGGGATAGTTCACATTTTTTCATGATGTTTGCAAATGTCTGGATGGATCATGCCATGTGGACAAAAATCTGCATAATTAACCTGAAAGGTTATTTTACACTGTGACTTTGTTACATCAAAAATAGCCAGGCTCGGTGGCTCAGCCTGTAATCCTGCGCCTTTGGGAGGCTGAGGTGAGTGGA